GTCTAATCTTTGGTCCCATCTGCAGTCCAGCCAGCTCTCTTATTATATTTTAGCGTTCAAGTCATATACAAACAAATAAAAGGCTGTTATCTGTCTCTCTTTTCCCTCGTTCTCCTTGTCGTTATCCCTCTCATTCTCCGTCTTTTCATACCACCAGCTCTTTCTTTCTCTTTTTTTTTTTTATCTGTCTCCTTTTTTTTAGGTCTCTTCTTCCCCCTCTTTCTCTCTCTCTCTCTCCCTCTCCATCTCGCTCTTCACGACGGCCTCAAGTCCCCGCCGCTCCGCCTCTTCTCTTCTCTTCCTTAATACTCGATGTCCTCGTCCTCGTCCTGGTTCGAATCCTGGGCCACCTCCTCGTAGTCGTGCTCGAGGGCAGCCAAGTCCTCGCGGGCCTCAGCGAACTCTCCCTCTTCCATACCCTCTCCGACGTACCTGTAGTGATTTGGATAAACAATGTTATTTTCTTTGGCAATAGGCTATCACAATATTTTACTAAGGGCATCATGGATGTATTGTAATAGCATCCGTCTTTCTCTTAGTTTATAGGGTCAGCGAGGGGAGAGAGATTATTTATTGCCTGGATGTTATACTTCAACCGTGTACTAAATCATGAAAGGGGAATTATGAATAATTCTCGGCAAAATCTTTAAACACTATTTTCTTGTCCTTTTTTACAAGGAAAGCAATTGATTCAGCGTATTATAAATTTATCTATAATCTATATGTAAAACGAAACCTCTGTATTCCATCAAAAGCAAAGATCATTTCCAAAAAACGAGAAAAAAAATATATGAAAATGAAAGGCTTACCAGTGGACGAATGCGCGCTTGGAGTACATGAGGTCGAACTTGTGGTTGAGTCTGGCCCAGGCCTCGGCGATGGCGGTCGTGTTGGAGATCATGCAGACGGCGCGCTGAGTGGGAGCCATGTCGCCGTTGGGGATCACCGTGGGAGCCTGGTAGTTGATGCCCACCTGAGGAAGTGCAACAAGACAAAAGTTAGTTTAACTGAGGAAGTTAAGCAAAGGTAGTTCATTTTCGACTTGGCATCAGGAAAAAGTTAGCGACGAGTTGGATGTGTGTAAAGGTTAGATTTCGAGTCATGAAAGGCAAGTGCTTAGTTTGTCTTCTACATAATACGCCGTAAACGTTTGTAGAATATGTGTGGTATTGGTCATGTAGCGATGCTGCCTTCATCAGACATCCTAAACCAAATCAAAACATATACAGTAGAGAAAGATGATATAACACATGAATATATAGCGAAATATACACACATACATATACGTAACAATATTCATGAGGGAATATCACAGTTCTGAGCCAACGGACATTACCTTGAAGCCAGTAGGGCACCAGTCCACGAACTGAATCTGCCTCTTCGTCTTGATGGCAGCAATGGCAGAGTTGACATCCTTGGGAACAACGTCTCCACGGTACAGCAGGCAACACGCCATGTATTTTCCTATAACACGTACATACCATTAATGAAAATTGCGAGAAAAGAGGTAACGTCAATCTAAGCCCACCTAAAGCTTCTTAAAAATTAGACTAAATATTCCTTAATTCATTTTGCAGTGACAAAGTGGAATCTATCTTCATTCAAAATATTTTCATGATTTTATTAGCCTGTTAAAAGCGACATTCATATTGTAATATCCATCATGCACTGACAATATACACCATGACGAAATCGAATCCTAATAAAATTATGATATCATGATTGATGTCATGATTGCACTGCCAATACTTACCGTGACGTGGATCACACTTCACCATCTGGTTGTTGGGCTCGAAGCAAGCGTTTGTAATCTCGGCCACAGACAGCTGTTCGTGGTAGGCCTGCGGAGACACAAAACGGGAATATTGCATTATGGGAATCGAAGAAAGGGGTATTGCGGACCAGCGACAAAGGGGGTGGATGTATATGCACAATGTACATGTATTAATTAACAAGAAATAAGGCTTCAGCCATACTGTATATTAACGTCATATTCACTGATTATAGATATTATATCATGATACTTATTATCACCTTTATCACTGTGATCATTAGCATCATCATGATCATTGCCATTATTATTATCTCTACCATTATCAGCAGTAAAAGTAGTAGCAGTATCTATCACTGCTGCTGTTGTCGTAGCAATAGTAGCATGGTTATTATTATAACTTTAACACTGATATCATTGATATCTGATGCTCCTCACACTGACCTTTTCCACGCTAAGCACGGGCGCGTACGTGACGAGAGGGAAGTGGATCCTGGGGTAAGGCACAAGGTTGGTCTGGAATTCGGTCAAGTCGACGTTGAGGGCGCCGTCGAACCTGTTGGGGAAGGAAGGGCGTGGGGATGAACAGTGTGGTCTTGCGGTTATTGTCATGTGGGGTTGTGGAGGATTGTGGGAAGGAGGGCAGCGAAGAGGAAGGGCTTGGTGTGTGTGTGTGTGTGTGTGTGTGTGTGTGTGTGTGTGTGTGTGTGTGTGTGTGTGTGTGTGTGTGTGTGTGTGTGTGTGTGTGTGAGTGTGTTTTTGTGTGTGTGTGTGAGCGCGCAGCTGTTAATGGTGTTTGTTTTTTGTCGAAGCCCATCAGTGAAGTCACTTTCCTAGCACTCGTCTAAGCAACAGACTTTCCTGCCTCCTAACAATCTAACGAATTGAAACGCCATATTTTTTTCCTACAAACTATCTTACAACAAAAAGCAGGTATATTTTATCCTAACACAATAAATATATTTTTTTAAAATACTTGCTGAGCATGTTGCTCTTGCTTTCTTAAAGAATACTTATTTTTTCTCTCCAATTTTCCTAACATTTTCTTCATACTAACACTACATCTTTCTAACACTACTAAAATCTTCCCAACCTCGGCCTTTTCATGACCTTTTTCGTGACCTTTTCGTGACTTTCTCGTGGCCGTGAACTGACCTGAGCGACGCTGTGATGGACGACACGATCTGGCCGATGAGGCGGTTGAGGTTCTCGTAGGAGGGGCGCTCGATGCCCAGGTTCCTCCGGCAGATGTCGTAGATGGCTTCGTTGTCGACCATGAAGGCGCAGTCGGAGTGCTCGAGGGTCGTGTGGGTCGTCAGGATGGAGTTGTAGGGCTCGACGACCGCCGTGCAGATCTGGGAAGGCGGGAGGAGTTAGACTGGTTTCGGCGTTGATATGGCAGGCTTTCTTTCTCGTTCTTTCTTTCTCTTTCTCTTTCACTTTCTCTTTCTCTTTCTCTTTCTCTTTCTCTTTCTCTTTCTCTTTCTCTTTCTCTTTCTCTTTCTCTTTCTCTTTCTCTTTCTTTCTCTTTTTCTCTGGCTTTCTCTCTCTCTTTCTATCACTCTCACTCACTTACCCTCTCCTCCTCCCTCTCCCTCTCCCTCTTCCTCTCCCTATCCCTCTCACTCTCATTCTCCCACTGCTAATCCTTTTCCCTGTTTCCCTGTTTCCCCCTCCCACTCCCTCTCCCTCACAGACCCTCTAATACACACCTGGGGGGCGGGGTACACGGTGAACTGCAGTTTGCTCTTCTTCCCGTAGTCAACCGAGAGCCTCTCCATCAGCAGGGACGTGAAGCCAGATCCAGTGCCTCCGCCGAAGGAGTGGAAGACGAGGAAGCCCTGTGGAAGCGGAAGAAATGAGGTCCTGGTTTTTGTATTTCGGTCCTTTATGTAGGGCAGACTCTCTCTAAAATGATCAGGCATAAGTCGTCTCATTTTCTTTCTGTTATTCCCATCTATGTCTCGTTTGCAATGAATTTCCCATGAATTTCCTCTTAACGATGTGAGAAAACAAGAATCGAAATTTCTCACGGCCATGAAATATGAAGAAATCTTACACTCTCTTTACCATTTTTTTTATTATTATTATTCCTGGCTATTTTCTTCACACTCATCAACTTCACTCAAACAGAAATCTTACCTGAAGACCTGAGCAAGCATCTGCCATCTTGCGCAGCTTGTCCATTACTAAATCCACTTGTTCTTTCCCAATGGTGTAATGGCCACGAGCGTAGTTGTTGGCTGCGTCCTCCTTACCATTGATCAGCTGTTCAGGGTGGAACAGCTGGCGGTATGGGCCGGTCCTGACCACGTCTGAAGCATAAGGGACGTGTTAATTTTATTGATCCAAAAAAGGTTTATTGGTTTTAAAGAGATACCTTAGCAATGATAAAACAGTTTCATTGTCGTAGTATTCTGACTGTAATTAACTGCAAGGCTAAGTACTAGGTTAAATGGTGGTTATATTAACTTTTCTTTTAGAAGTCATATCATTTGTCAAAGCTTATTTTTTCCCTTACTGACTAAATAATTTTACTAGTTATATCAGATAGGTGGCAAAACAAATGACATAGTAATAGTTATTGAAAATATCAAAGTCCACCAGCGAATAGGGAGTTCCAGAGAATCAAAGAAAACTATATTTTTATGGGTAACTCGGAAAAACCAACACAGTCACTTACCAACAACAGTGGGCTCCAGATCCACGTAGATAGCACGTGGAACATACTTGCCCCTTCCTGTCTCCTGGAAGAAGGTTGTGTACATATTTTCTTCTTGGGGAACATCTTCGGCTGAGAGAGAATTTAATAAAAGTTAGTAAAATTCTTTGAGTATGAACATATAAGAATACACATAAATCATAAGGAAAAATATAAATATAGAAAGAAATGAAGTGGTAAAAAAAATACATATATATACAATGAAAAGATGAGAAGGAGATATAACAGCAAATATACCCATTGACGGGAAAGTATCCAAATATAAAGACAAAGCAAACAAAAATATATGCATAAAGGACAAGTATAAATGAGAGAAATATAATCATTAACACAAGAGAAAATAACATCAATAACCAGTATAGTCTATATAGGAAAGCACAAATCGATCGAGAACCACTTACCGAGGTGGCCGTCGGGCTGGATTCCGTGTTCCAAGCAGTACAGTTCCCAGCAGGCGTTGCCAATCTGCACGCCGGCCTGACCAATGTGGACGCTGATGCACTCACGCTGAGGAGAGAAGAAAAAAACGATTGAATTTCCCTTTCGAAAGTCTAATAGGTAGATTCAAAGAGAGAAGGAGAGAGCCAAGACAGAGAGGGATGGAGGGAGGGAGAGAAAGCTCTGTAATTACAGATAAATAGATATATACACGGCGATATAGATTAAACAGACAGCTTATTTATTTTATTACCACAAATAAAAATGGGTTCTTCGAAAAGTGCATTAAACTCATCAACTGCATTCATTACCGTGAATAACAAAGACAAAATGGAAAGATGTCTCGTCATCATTAATGGTTAGAAAAAAAAATGTAATCATTGCCAAAGACGTTGCAATTCGAAAAATAATAGTTAGCGTTTTCGCAGAGCCAAGCCGTGATTCCGGGGCGAACGTTATGAAAATCACCCTCTTCGAAATCGCTTTTTTGAACTTTCGACAACTACGCTGAACTAAATTCTTTATTCGCTGAAGTTTCCTTTGCATGACAACTTTGGACTGAAATTATCCCCATCAAATCGACACTACATCAGATTTATACCATGGAATTACATCTATTGAGACCGTTAGTCGAGAAAAAAAAATATGTATGTCAGTCATGATCTGCATTAAAGTGGAAATGCAGAGATGATTCTTATCTCATTCAGCCGCTCAGGTCACAGCCAGATTAGCATGGCGAAAAGACGTACCCACATGTATGTGAATTTGCGGCACAGATCGTCTGAAGGATTAGGCCCTAGCATGTCAGATTGATCTATTGATCGATAATTTTATGTAAATGCATGTTTTTTGCAATACAATTACACACATGTGCATATATATATGTATATGTGTGTGTGTGTGTGTGTGTGTGTGTGTGTGTGTGTGTGTGTGTGTGTGTGTGTGTGTGTGTGTGTGTGTGTGTGTGTTTGCGTGTGTTTGTGTGTGTACGCAAGTAAGCAAAACTTTACTAAAGAAAATACACAACAGAGCAAAGCGCATGTCATACTGCCCTTTAAGTAGGATATTACCGACGAGAAATTAGCCAGAAATTGAGTGTAAAGGAAAAGGAAACAGAAGAAGGAATATAAAAAGGAGAGGAAAAGCTAAAGAGAACGAGAAACACAGCATAAAATTGAATGCCAGACAAGACAGCGTAGAGAGGAGAGGAGCACAGCGTAATAACAAGTAATGATAAACAATAAAAAAAATCTTGCAAAAAGAGACAATTTCTCGTCTCGTTTGCCTTATAAATAGCATCCCTTCGCGGATAGTTTCATTAACGTTTTATTCTCATTTTATTCTCATGGATAATCGTGGAGTGAGAGAGGCGGGCGGGGGGGGGGGGGGTGCTCGCTCTGGTAACTCGTGTGAGGGAGATGGAGTTCGTTTGCCTGCTCTCTGCATTATGATAAAAGTTTTTTTTCGCTCTTTCTCTCTCTCTCTCAATCTCTTTCTTTCTCTCTCTCTCTCTCCTTCCCTCTTTTTCGCTTAGTTCTGTTACGTTCATCATTTTTGGCCGGGTGGTTTTCTGTCCGTTTATTGCTGTCTTCGTCACTGTGATTTTTGTGGAATTGTCAATATCATTATTATCATTATTTGTATTTTCATTATTATCAATGTTCGCCAGTGTGCATAAGGATCCTAGTTGCTGTGTGTATCTATGCATGCAAGGATGCGTGCGTTTGGTGCATATGCATGTATGTGTGTGTGTATATATATATATGTATGTGTGTGTGTGTGTGTGTGTGTGTGTGTGTGTGTGTGTGTGTGTGTGTGTATGTGTGTGTGTGTTTGTGTGTGTGTGTGTGTGTGTGTGTGTGTGTGTGTGTGTGTGTGTGTGTGTGTGTGTGTGTGTGTGTGTGTATGTGTGTGTGTGTGTATGTTTGTGTGTGTGTGTGTGTGTGTGTGTGTGTGTGTTTGTTTGTTTGTTTGTTTGTGTGTGTGTGTGTGTGTGTGTGTGTGTGTGTGTGTGTGTGTGTGTGTGTGTGTGTGTGTGTGTGTGTGCGCTCAGTGACGCGCCTGCCATTTCCGTTCCTGGGCAGCGGCCCGACCGTGACTCACGGAAAAAAGCGCATCAAACTTTCAAGTGTTGTTCCGGCGCCGCGATCGATCCGTCTGGTCCCTCGATGTCTCGACGAGGCTATTGACATCATAATTAATCAACAGGTGCGAATGGCCGGGAAATTGAGCAATGCGGGAGTTTTTAATATCGTGATTATTAGTGATGATGACAATGATAATCATAATAACAGTAACAACAACAGCAATAGTAACAGTAATTCTAATAATGACAATAATAATTACCATTATCATTATCACTATCATGATTATCATCATTACCGTTGTTGGGTCTTATAACTATTATTGTTATTATCATTAGTATAATATTAGCCACAAGTTTAAAGAAATAAAAGGGCCTAATGGTTGGCCGAATAAGCAATTCGCACAACCCGGCGATATGCCCGAGGAAGTGGTCACTCAATAAAGCAGACAAGAGCAATTTTCCTAAAGGTTACTTCGCCACACC